TGCGCGCTGAGCAAACTTGCCAATGTTTGCTGAAGTTGGCCGATACTGCACCATGCACCCCCAAACCCTCAACATGGAGGGATCTCCCCTTGAGCCGGTCCACTTCATGTGCGGGGAAAGGTTGTCTCTGTTGGCCGTGGTGGAGAGGAGGTTGTAAAGGCGCACCGCGTGGTTCATGGCGTAAGGCCAAAACTTCTTGGGGAGGCCGGACTGATTCATGAGGGCGCGCACTTTTGTCATGAGGGTGCGATTTACCCTCTCTGCGACTCCTTGCTGCTGATGAGCGTAGGGGAGAGAGATCTCATGCTTGATCCCCTTTTCGGTGAGGACGCTTTCCAGCTCGTGGCTGCGGAACTCCTTGGCGCCATCACTCTGCCAGATTTTCAGCTTCCTCCCTGACTGTCGCTGTGCGTGTGCGAGCCAGATCCGGAAGACTTCTGGAGCCTTGGACCGTGCGTCGACGTTGGCAATCCAGACGTAGCGTGAGTAGGCGTCGATGAAGGTCAGCGTGTATTTTTCGCCGTTGAGTCCGTCGCAGGTGAGTACAATGAAGTCGCTGTACACCTTCTGTAATTTCTTGTAGCGGTTGGTGCTTGGCTCCAGTGAAGGATATGCGCTGTGAGTGAGGGCTGCAGTGGGGCAGACGGTGCAGGTGAGTGGGTGTGGGGTGTTGTGTGGTTCGGTGCCGTCGGGGCGCAGAAGTGCTCCTGGGGGGAAGACCTTCGCGCGGAGGCAGTTGGCGAGAGTCTGGCGCGAGGGATGCCCGAGTCGCTGGTGCCAGAGATCATCTTCGGCGCGAATGCCGCTGCTGCGCATGTAGCGTGCGCGATGCTCTGCTGCTTCCTCCTCTGTTTCTTGTGGGATCTGGAGCGGTGGTTCCTCCTCTTCTCCTGGTTCTGTTTCGTCTTCCGCTCCTTCTGCTTCTTCTGCAGTTGATTCCCCTTCTGCAGGTGCGGTCGAAAGATAGAGGGCGAGAAATTCGCGGTCGGGGATGACGGTGAGCGGAGTTGTTGTTCCTTCGATGAAGCGGGCGAATGGATCTGGACGGGAGATTGGACCAAGGGAGTCTCGGGCAGGTGTTGGAGGTACGTTCCCCTCCTCAAGCTCCGTCCAGGTACTGTCCCAGCGCCATGGTGACCGGGGGGGTGAGCGTGCTGGTGGTGGTCTTCCGAGGGGTATGGTGACGCGGGGTGGTTCCTCTCCGCGTTCGGTGCGCATCTCTTGTTCTGCTTCCTCCAGTTCTTCTTGGGTGAGATCTGCTTCGGCTGTTTCTTCCGTACCCCAGCCTCCTGTGGTAGCCATGCCACTGCCGCTGGATCCCCATGCTCCGATGGCTGATGCCCATGTGGCGCCTTCCCCGGGTTGATAGTCATCGTCTCCCCATCCACCTCGTCGTGCAGACTCCTCGCTCCAGCCTGCTGCGATGCGCTCTTCGTACAGTTTTTGTTTCTTCTCTGCCCTGACCTTATCTTGTTCCTCTTTGACGCTTAACTCCTCTGCCTCATCAGGGTCTTTCCAGGCTGGGTCAATTTCGCGGCGATAAACTTCGCGGGTGTACGGGCGCGGGCGTCCTTCCTCGTCTATGGTGGTGGCGTTGGCCTCGAGGATGAATCGGAGAGTTTCGGAACGTGGTGTGGGCCGCGGATCAGGCAGGTGACCGAACTGCTTGTTTTCTTCTCCGAAGATGCGGTAAGTTGATACCGCGAGTTCTTCTTCGGTCATGCCAGTTGGTTCTTCCTCGGCGCTTTCTGCCTCCTGGATCACCGCGAATTCCCTCTCCACTTGTTCCGTGCGGCTTGCAGCGGGTGTATGGCAGGTGGTGCAGAGCCCGTTGATGTCGGGGTTGTGCAGATTGATTTCGCGCGGATGTGGGCTGCGGCGAATCCACGGTCGCCCGTCAGGATGTTGCCACGATTCTTCGTTCATGAAGGCGAATTCGAGGGGGACCAGGTCCACGAGCTCATCCGACGAGGCTTCACAGCTTGGTACGTCGAAGTCCAGAACGTAGATCCCGTTGATTGAGCGGGCTCGACCGAGGTATTTAAACGACTCGGGAGGTGTGTCCGGAGGGGCGTACGTGAGGATGAGGTCGCGTGTGGCCAGGTCGGTGGTGAGTATGACGCCGCAGTCCCGAAGTTGTCCTGCCGAGAGTAGATTAAAGCGTAGGTCTGGGACGTAGAGCACGTCGTTGAACGAGATGTGAGTGTTGCTGTCTCGTGCTTGCAGAACGACAATGCCTTGGGAGTTGGCGCGCAGTTGGTGGCTATTAGCAACGGTGACGAAGGTTGCGGGGGCTCGGTTGAGGTTTGACACGTAGCGAGTCGACCCCACCATGTGTTGTCCGCAGCAGCTGTCCAGGTACCAGGTGTTGTAGTTGTCTTTGTTGTTGTTGTTGCGGAGTAGTAACGCGAGTCGCGGGGTCACCAGCGTCGCCTTGTAACGTCTGTGGAAAAACGGGTCTTCATCTTCCTTCCATCCGACAGGTACGTAGAGTTGATTGTCGTGAGGCGGGCTTTCCCGCAGTGTGATTGGCTGATTCCAATCTTGCTCGTCTTCGTCGTGCAGGTAGTAGTGGTCTTCCGTAAGGGGGTTGTTCCACCCTTCTTCTGGTTGCGGCAATGTTCCCTGAAGTTCGTTTTCTTCGTCAGGCTCAGCAGTGCGGCGGCGTCTTCTCGCCATGTTTGCGATTACGTTTCTGGGAGCTCCTCCTTGAGGTCCTTGTGACTGCTGTGGTTGTTGTTGTTGTGCAGGAGGACGGGAGACTGGTTGTTGTGGCTGAGGGTGGCAAGCGTCTTGTCGGCTGACCCAGTTGTTGTGGTGAGTGGGATTCGGGTGCCGATAGTTGGATCGGGATTTGCATCGATCCGTTGAATGCCCGAAGGCTTTGCAAATTTTGCAGTAATGGCGCCTTGGTTGTCGTCGCTCTTCACGGTTGTCTGTGTAGAAGGCGAGTCGCTCTCGCCGCGGCGCGGAACTCGTTCTGCTCGAGTCCATGTCCTGCTGTTCAGTCAGCAGTGCGGCGCATAGCGCGGCTTCGGAAAGTTGTCCTCGTTGTCGGAGTAGTGCCTTGCAGGGCTTCCACTCGGGCCCAAGTCCCTGGAGGATGATGTTTACGAATATCTCCTCCGAGATCGAACTTCCGTTCTTGATGATTTGATCACGGATGTTCCGACAACGGTTGATGTAACTGTTTGCTTTCTCCCCGTGCCCCATCTTCGTCTCCATGAGTTGTTGCAGGAGACGGCTTGCAGTGACGGAATCCTTCGGCTGATATACCTCCACGAGGTGCTTCCAAGCTTCAAGAGCCGGAGCGGCGCTCTCTTTGTAGGAGCGGATGCCGAGCTGTTCTGCTGGCGACATGTTGCGCAGCAGGACGCTATACGCCATGAGCGACTCACTGTAGTATTGAGCGCGGGCGTCTTCGGTGTCTTCCACCGGTTTAGGATAGGAACCGTCGAAGTAGTGGTAGATCTGCGCTGTCTGTAGGAGGAGCTCCAGCTCAAAACTCCATGTATAAAAATCCTTGCCGTCAAACGCGGCAGTAGTCTTGATCTTTGACACACTTAGAAAGCGTGCTTGCGCAGAGTTGATGGTTTCGTCGCTTGGACGAGGGGCAGTTGTTGCAGATTTGTCTGAGTCGAGGGAGAAGCCATGCGCGGCGGTATCGCGGCTTTTCGCAGCCGGTTGTCCAGGTTGAACTGGTTGGGAAGTGGTTCCCGCATCGCCTTTGCGCAGTTCTTGGAGTTCTTTCTCCATTGTTGACAGTCGAGCGAATAACTGCTCGAGCGCGGCAGTGCCGATCGTAGTTGTCGCTTCATTTGTCGCAGCCGGGTTGGTTTGTCCTTCGGCCGTTAGATTTGTTTGGCCTCCGGATCCTCCGGCCATCTTGGTCTTGGAACGTGTGCCGCTCGCCAGATCTTGGTTTGGCGAATTTTACGGAGTTGACGTTGCGAAGAATCCCTGAGCAGCTCTCATACCATGTTACAATCTGAAAAAAGTGACTTAGCGAAGAGGATCGTTCAGGGTTGATCGCGGGTAGTGTCGCAGCGGAAGTAGTGAACTCAGGTCAGAGTGAATGTAAATGACTGAGATTGATAATAGCATGCATACATTGGGTTTATATAGAAATACAAAGGAATGCGAAACGACCTAGACTAGCCATGTACTCTAAGGGGTACGTTCCCTTATTGCAGCGAAATTTAAACCGTGCGGCGCGGGAATCAGTTTCAAACCTGTTCCCGCTCTTTTCACTTCAAATGCTTCTGCCTGCATCGGTCTTAGTCAGACGGTTGCTGTGTCGCTTCGACTCTTCTGACTCCTCGACTTCGTACTCGGTAGAGTCGGCTCCTACAGCATACAGGAATGCCTTCTCATAAAGCTTCATATCGTAACAAGGATGAAAACACCTGAATACATACCTTCATATGGTATTGAACGCCCTATCATATTTCATATACTGTAGCATACAGCGATTAGAGTCCTAATACCTCATCAGAGTGTAGGATGTAGTGACACAAAACATGTTCAGTTGAATAATTCTAATAAATACTGCACTGCAGCTAGGAGCACCACTCGAGCATGCCAAATGGCAAGGAGGTAGGTGAGATGTGGGGGAAACCGTTCACACCCACTCCACTTCTTCGCCATGCCCAGCAGCTCCCTCTTCCTCCTCCCTCTACACCTTGCAGTGCGTGAACCTCACGACCAGCAACAGAGCAGTGATACCTTCAACACCTTCAGCACCAGCACCAGAGCAGAGCAGAGATACCTTCAACACCTTCAGAAGTGATACCCAGCCCCATGCCTTGACCCCCCGTAACACCTAGACCCAGTCCCTGTCTCCCCTTCGCCCTCCCCCATTCTCTCCTTCCACCCTCTTCCCTTTACTGCCTCTCCAAAAAACACTTTACACCTTACTATGCGTGAACCCCACGACCAGAGCAGTGATCTCATCAACATACCCTTTCTCTCCCCACCCCTATCGCCTCAACTCAAAAGCTCTACACCTTCCTGTGTGTGAACCCCACGACCAGAGCAGTGACATCATCAACATACCCCGCCCCATCTCTCTTCAGCCACCGCTCCTTGGCCAAGGCCAGCAGCGCCTTCACTCCCGCCTCTATGCTCCCCGCCGCCACCACCACCCCTATCGCCTCGTCATCCCCCACATACTCCCACAGGCCGTCTGACCCCAGCACCAGGAAGGCGTCTGATTGGTCGAGACCAATCACGACCACCTGTGAGGGAAGAGAGGGGAGGGAGTCACGTGAGGAGAACACAGAGGGAGGGTTGCAGATGGTGGGACGACATGGTGAGATGTAGAGTGTGGTTTGTAGCGAGTGGGAAAAGGTTGAAGGATAAGGAAAGGGCTGAGGGGATAAGGAGGAGATGCACTGCCAGCACCACCCTGGTTGTTACCACACACACACACAAGAGATGACTTTTCAGTTGACTCAAAAGTCATCTGATTGTTTTCACACCCAGGAATGATGGAAAGTCCAACGGCGTGCATCAGCTAATCTCCAAAGCTGTGACTCATTGCCAGGTCTAGCATGGGATTATAGGAGATAATAGGAAATTATTGTGACTACAATAAGATACACAGATCGTGTTAGCAGATGCATTGAGTGCATTCTTACTTACCTCAGGGGTGGCGAAGACTCCAACGGTGTGCGCAAGCTTATCCCCCAGGCTGCGACTCATTGCCAGGCCCAGCATGGGACCATGTAGTGAATCATGGTTCACCCTCCGTGCTAGCACATGCGTTGAATGGGTGCATACCTCAGGAGTAGCTGTGACCCCAAGGGTGTGAGCCAATTTATCCCCCAGGCTGCGAGTCATAGCCAGGCCCAGCACGGGAGCGGAGGAGAGGGAAAGGAAAAGGGAAGGGGAGAGAGGGGAGCTTGAGGGCTTGAGAGCTTGAGGGGAGCTTGAGGGCAGAGAGGGGGGCTTGTGATGATACGCAGAGAGTTGCAGCACCATGAGGTCACCCCGCTCTGTGGCATGGAAGAAAGAAGCGGGTGGGTGGCGACAGGGGAGGGGGAACAGAGAGGGGGACCGGGGAAGAGAATGGAGGGGAGCTCGGACCAAAGTGAGAGCTTGTAGTCAGCTGAAAGCCCAAGACGCACTGCCAACAGGTCGTACTGCTCTGTGGCAGGGGAGGGGGAAAGGGGAAGGGAAGGGAGAGGGTAACTGGGAGGGAGGTCGGAGAGGCTGAAAGGGGAGGGGAAGAAAAGGGCTTCAGGAGAGAGGGCTTGTGGTCCCCAGACAGCTGCACTGGAAGAAAGAAACGGGTGGGTGGGAACCTCCCCCTCTTCTCTCACTCACCTCTTCCCCCTCTTTTCTCACTCACCTCTTCCCCCTCTTCTCTCAATCACCTCTCCCACCTCTTCTCTCAATCACCTCTCCCCCCTCTTTTCTCGCTCACCTCTTCAACCCTCGTTTCTCACTCACCTCTTCAACCCTCTTTCTCACTCACCTTTGCCCTTCCCGTTTCCCACCTCTCCCCCCCTCTTTTCTCACCTCTCCCCCTCTTCTATCACCTCTTCCCACTCCACTCACCTCCGCCCTCCGAGCCAGCACAGCCCTCGAGTCCCCACCCACACCACAGCCAAACGCTGCTTGTACAGGTGAGCTACCACCGCTGTGGTGCTGCTTATGTTGCAATCGAAGGAGGCTGTAAGGGGTATGAAATGGAGGTACATACAAGAGAAACATCGCATGGAAGTGAGCTGCAATGTGTGTTACCAGAATACACTAGAATCTCGGCCTAAGCTGAACCCGCACTCCCAACCCCTTCCCATGAGCCTTCCAGCGTTGCATTCCACAGCACTCTCCACAGAAACAAAGACCTCGACTCGTACCGATCAGAGGAACCACCACTGAGAGATCATACTTCATTCTCTCACTCACAACAATGGCACTGCTCCAATGTGTGTTGCTACAGTTCAATTTACCTAACTTCGACTCACATTCCCTTCTCTCCCCTCCAGAGATGTGGCACTTTTTCTCACACCATTCGCAGCTCTCGACATTGCTCAACGCCTCTACCATAACCCCCTCTCACTCTTTTCTCTCCTTTTTCTCTTGTACACACTCCCTCTCCTCCTCCCGCACTCCCTCAACATATCCCATCCCCACTCTCTCCTTCGTACACCTCTTCACTTCACACCCCTCCTCATTCCCCACGACTCACTCTTTTGTCCTCACCACGCCCCATCCCCACTCACTCTCCTCCGCACCCTCCCACACATCCCTCGCCCACATCCCTCCCCTTTCCCCCTACTCACTCTCCTCAAGCGCTGCATTGTGGACCGCCAAAAAGCCATCTGTAGATGCCTTCTCTGGGTCCACGAGAATATCTGAGCCGTCAATTAGAATCTAAGGAAGCCACCTGTTCATGCCTTCTTTTACACTCTCAAAGCGGCAGCAGAGAGCTCGTGGCTATGGTCCAAAAGGCGGTGCAGCGAGCAGCAGTGCAGCGAGGGGCGGTGCTGTGCCAATACCTGCACGCAGAGGGGGACGGGCAGGAAGACGGGACAGAAGGGGGGAAGGAACGGTAAAGGCGTGCACTGGGACAGCTCTTTACACTCTCAAGGTGGCACCAGAGAGCTCGTGTTTTGTGGCGCCTCTTGGCACCAGCAGAGAGCTCGTCTCGTCGCTGTGGTCCAGCAGGCGGTGCAGCGACGGACGGTGATGTGCCTTCACCTGTGCAGAGGGGAGTGAAGGGGTAGGGGAGGAGGGGGGGGGGGGAAGGGGAAGGGAAAGGGAAGCGGGAGAGTGCATTGAGGCTCATCGCAGCACGGTCATGGGTGATGGTGATACGCGCAGGGGGGGAATAAGAGGGTGAAACGCCATAATCAGCTGGTCACGAGTCAGCTCACCCGCACTGCGCTGCTGACTCTCCCCTCTCCACTCTCCCTCCCTCCGGCCCGCTTCCCCGCCCTCCTATCATCTGCTTCCCTGGCTCCCCAATCCCCCAAATGGCATAAGATGAAGCGGCAGTTATTCACGTAACGGCCCCCTCCCTTCCCCTTTTTTTGCCCCCAGTGGGATCGGGAGGCATGGCCGTGTAATGTTGCACGCACCCCTAGAGCGTATAGCGCGGCGGCTTGTAGCGAGGCGGGGAGGAAGTCCGCCGCAGCCATCTCGAAGAACGTCGGCCGACTGCCCTCCGCGCCCGCCGCGTGGAACAGCATCGCGGGAAGCGCGGCGAGATGTGCGACGGGTTGTGCGACGAGTTGTGCGACGAGTTGCGATAAGGGGTACGACGCGACGATTGCGAGTCTAGAAGGGCGAGACAACGGAGCCGAATACGCGCGACGGCAGCAGAAGGCTCCACCAATGGAACACACGCTACGCTACGCTGTCGCGACCCGATTCGTGCTGTGGCTGTCTAAATGCGTGGGACGAAACGAAATCGGCCAAACCCTATGGCTCATTTTCAGTCTCGGGTAACCATGAACATTGCATTTCAGGGGTTCGGGCATTTGACATTATTTTCAGTATGGCTCATTATTTTCAACATTCGGTTTTGCACGGTGCCTCACCCGAAACAGGTACAACCAAATTCGACAGTTGGCAATAGCAACACTCAGCCGATCACCGCTTTGGTAAAATACCAAACCGCGCAGAACCATTCAAAACTCAATCTTGCGAGCAGGTGACTGGGATTCGTGAAACTAAGGATGTGGATCGAGTTAATCATAAACTATGACAGGGAGATATGCTTCCTGGCGGAAACTAGGACGGACGGTGGTACTGTGCCCCGCCTGGGCTTGGTATGCTTGTAGCCTGTACGCAACCGTCGTGCCGCGTCGCAGCACCGCGTCGCGGCACAGACGGACGTTAGCAGGAGAGAAGCGACACGACGCATCGCGTGCTATCCGAGTTGATTCACCGCTTCGTTGCGCTCTCTCCTGATCTCTTGTCCGACTCGTTGCCACGATGGCTCCGCGATTCGCGCTTCTTCTTGTGATCCGAGTTGATTCACCACTTCGTGACGCCATTTCTTGATCTTTCACCGTCCGAGGAGTCGATGCCATGGCCCCGCGATCCGCGCTCCTCCTTGTTCTCCTCTCTTCCCCCTCCCCCCGTGCTCGCGCATCCCATCCGCCTGCCCTCCGCGCCTTGCGCCGCGCAGATCGCGGCGCGGAGCCTCGAAGGCCGCGGGGCGCACCGCGTACTGCGCACGTCGCTCCACGTGGCATGCCGCGCCGATGTGTTCCGTCCACGTCATCCAGGCGGTGCACACGTTGCGTGCGGAGAAGCGCCCGTTACTAGAACGGGGAGCCGCTGTTATAATGGGAATGAGGGAGAGACGGAAGGAGGGAGAACGGACGGTGGAGAGGAGGAGCGGCCGACAGATGGGTGCAGAGCGGTTCCAGAGCTCAGTAGCTGCACTGCTGCCAGTGAAAGCGTGGGAAGCAGTGGGGCGACAGGGAGGACACGTGTCACAATACGATTAGAGCAGCCCGTGCCACGTGGGCTGTACGCCGATCCGTTTGAGCTGGAGCGAATTGTGCGACCCGGTGAAGGGGCCGGGGGCGTTAGTGGGCGCATGGGATGGTGAGACGAGGGGGAGTGGGGGGCGCAGAGGGAGTGGGCAGCGCAGCGCAGCTGAGGCACATCTGGAGCAAATCCTGCGACCAGGTGAGGGCGGGACGTTCTTGGGTGACTTTTGAGTCGACTCAAAAGTCTCCTGCGACCAGGTGAGGGCAGGACGTTCTTGGGCGCGTGAGGGGGAAGGAGGGGGAGAGGAGAAGTGGGGGAATGCGCAGTGAAGGCGGGGGAGTGTGCAGTGAGGGGAAGGAGTGCGCAGCGAAGTGGGGGAAGGGAGCATTGAGGAGGGAGAAGGGCACGGTGGGGAAGGGACAGGCGCAATAAAGGGGGGAAGAGTGTGCAGTGAATGGGTAGAGCGCAGTGGGACAGTTACCCCCAGTGATCATGATGCTGTTGGTTTCGTAGCTCCGCTGTTGATTGGACCACCACCATTCTGACTCGTCCCTCTCCTGCTCTCTCTTTCTTTCTCCCCCTCCCTCCCTCCCTCCCTCCCTCCCTCCCTCCCTCCTCCCTCCCTCCCTCCCTCCCTCCCTCCCTCCTCCCTCCCTCCCTCCCTCCCTCCCTCCCTCCCTCCCTCCCTCCCTCCCTCCCTCCTCCCTCCTCCCTCCCTCCCTCCCTCCCTCCCTCCCTCCCTCCCTCCCTCCTTCCCTCCCTCCCTCTGTTCTCCCGCCCTCACAACCCTTCCCCCACTCCCCTCGTCCCCCCGTTGCTCTTCCTCCCTCCGAACCTCCCTCCCCAGCCAGCGACTGAGCCTGGGTGATAGGTCCGGTGGAGCAGAGCAGCCTGCGCCACGGTGTGAAGCACGTTTTTGAGTCGACTCAAAAACGGGGAGCAGCCTGCGCTACGGTGTGAAGCAACGGTGGCTGGGGACTTGCCAGCGTGATTGAAAGGGACGTGACAGTGGGAGCTGGGGAGGGGGATGTGCGCGTGGGGGAGGACAAGGGCGATCGATGGGGACATGCGTTCGGGGGAGGATGAGGTTGCTTTCTTAGTGGAGTTTAGCCTGCCTCTGCACTCCCGTTACCCGGTAACCACTCTATACTCTGTCACCATTTCATATTCTCAACTAATCTTCCTATTGTCCACATCAACTTATCTCTTCATGCAGCATGTAACCATCCGGACCGCCGTCCTCACAACCTGTTACCACTCTCCCTTCCAGCTATCACGATTTAGAGTCCAAAGCTGTCAAACTTATGGCTGTTCAGATTGTTTTTCCAACGGCTTCTTACCGCATCCTTCTTTCTCAACACCTCACTGCCTCTGCTACCGACAATCCTCATCCACCACCTTCCTTTTCTCCCCTTCCCTCTCCAAATCAGGCTGTGCTGCCAGCTCTCTCCCTGCCACTCTCCCCTCTCTCCCTCCTCCGCTCCACCGCTCACTTCCTTCCCTGGAACCACTCCCGCCTCTCCTCTCTCTCCTCTCTCTCCTCTCTCTCCTCTCCCTCCTGTCTCTCCGCCCTCTCCTCTCTCTCACCAGCAATAACCGGCACCTGCAGCCAATCGTACGCTGCCGTCTATGTGCCCTTGCCTTCCGCATGCCTCGTGCTCCCTCCTCCCCCGATCTGCCCGGGACCATCCGCCCTGCACCCTGCAGCGCCGTCATCCCCAGCAGCATCGTTGGAACATCAGCATGCGCAGCAGCATCAGAATCATCATCCCCATTGTCCTCAGCACCAGATTCGCCCTCATCGGCATCAGAATCACCATCAGCAGCAACATCATCACATGTGAGGCCGTCACTACCCCCCGCTGCGAGTGCCTTCCCATGCAGCTCACCTGGACTTCACAACCAGCAGCTGCAGACAGGAAAACGGACACGGTGCGGCTGGGTGCAGCAGGGTTGGGAGGAGAGTCTGCGGGATCCAAAGCAGAAGCAACAGAGGGGAGGCATGAGGAGGTGGGGAAGGGAGAAAAGGATGTTGGGGAGAAAGGGGAGGGGGAAGGGGGGAAGGAGGAGGGGGGCGCGTTGGTATGGGAGATGGCGGCGGGGTGTGCTGGCCACACGCCCCAGGTGCTGTGGGGAACGTCCCTAGCTGCTGCTGTGGGGGCTCTGGTGCTTGTTGCCGTGGCTGCTGCTGCTCCCGTGCACACAGGGGCTACCAACCAAAGCCAGCACTTGAGACGTGAAACCGTAGTGTTGAGGCTTCTGAAACTCATCTGCGCCAGTAATAGGATTTCAGGTCCGATCTGAAGAGACAGGAATGTGAGGAGCAGAAGACAGTATTTGCTCCAGCAGCTGTGGGGGCTTTGAACTTTTTGCACCTGCTGTTGCTTCTTCTCCGATGCACCAAGAAGGAAATAAGATGCCGCGTATGCTATTTGGCAAATCACCCAGTCTTAGTGCTGGCACCCTAAATTGCATCAACTTCATCACATAGTATGGGTTTGTGTATGTTTATGGTTGTTACAGAGTAATTCCTCATTAGAATCAGACACTAGCTCGCTCTTGCCTACATACCCTCAACCACAGTTCTGACTTGGACTAACACAACACAACACAGATTTCTCAAGACACGGTATTATTGAATATATATGAGACTAACACAAGAAGAGCCATAATCATCACTAACTGGCAGACGTTTCGGCCAGAGCCATCCCTTGGGGAGCGCTCCAGGCCAGAGCCATCCCTTGGGGAGCGCTCCAGGCCAGAGCCATCCCTTGGGGAGCGCTCCAGGCCAGAGCCATCCCTTGGGGAGCGCTCCAGGCCAGAGCCATCCCTTGGGGAGCGCTCCAGGCCAGAGCCATCCCTTGGGGAGCGCTCCAGGCCAGAGCCATCCCTTGGGGAGCGCTCCAGGCCAGAGCCATCCCTTGGGGAGCGCTCCAGGCCAGAGCCATCCCTTGGGGAGCGCTCGAGGCCCTTCAAGTGAATCCTGGGCTTGATTCCAACCTGGAAGGGAGAACTCAAGCCAGAGCCACAGGTGAATGGCAGCAGATGATTATCCTTGCACCCCCACCAGTTTCCCAACCCACTCTCCTGAACACCCTGACAAGCAGGGTGCAAAAATGGGACCCACCATCATCCCACTTCCCAACCTCCCAACCACCATCCCACTGCTGTAATCTGCCCGAGGCTCTGCTTCTGTGCTCTCCACCTGCATCCTGCTGCACCATGCCTTCGCTACTTCTCAAATGACTCTTTTTCATTTTTTTTTGTTCTTTCATTTTTTCCTCTTTTTTTCCCGCTTTTTTTCCGGCTCTTTTTTCTTCTTTTCTTTTCTTTTCTGAACCCATGAAATTAACAGGTCCCCGTTCCCACGAGAAGTGCCCCAAGGAAGGTCGGTCCCCCTTTCCCATGGTCCCGCTGAGCTTCACAGCAGCGCTTATGGCCGCCACGGACGCCGTGAGCTCGCAGCCAGCCCCAGCTTGGACGACGGTCCGGTACGAAGCTTCCTTGCAGCCGTGGGAATGACAGCAGTCGCTCGCTCCTCCTGCTGCTTCGTGTCGTTGGAACACCGTCTGCTTCGCGCCTGCCTCTCAGCTGCAGCGGCTCCTGCAGGTCGCGGAATCAGCGTCGCCCCATCCGCGCGGCTTTTCACGATCGCTCTCTGACCGCTTGGCTTGGGAATGCGAGACGGCAGCAGGTGTGAAGCATGATGAACTGAAAGTGTCGCAGCTGCTTTCGCCAAGCTAGCTGCTACGGCCGTCGGAGAAACTTCAGCCGGCGGCGACGTCACCGGTTCTGACGTCACTGGTTCCGACATCACTGGTTCAGATGTCAACGATTCGGACGCCACTGGTTTCGACATTACCGTTTCGGATGACAAGTGTTCCGAGGTCGCAGCCGGTACAGAGGCCGCCAGATCTGTCGTTTCCCGATCTGGCATCGACGGATCAGAGGACGTCGGATCGGACGTTATCGGATCCGGCGACGTCTTCGAACCGTGCGATGCTGGAGCTTCGATAAGACACGCGTCGCTGCGGCTGGCGTCGTCGACGCTTTCGCTGCCGGTGTTAGCGCAGGAGAGCACCGTGTCGCTGGCTTCGCTGCAGCAGGGCGTCAGGCTACGGCTGCTAACCTGGCGGAGTTTGCTCGCGTTGGAGGAGCTCCGAGGCTGCACCGATGATTGCGTAGGCTTGTTGCTATCGAGGCACTTCCAGAAGCTAAAAGCGTTGTTGAAGTACGAAGGGTAGTCAGACTCTGAGGCCATAGTGCAGATTCTTCACGAGATGAGCAAACGTTGAGAGTTAATCTGTGTGCTAGAACTGATAGTAAGCGCAAGCTAGGATGATTTGCACAAAGGTTTTTCTGGCTTGTCGGGAAGGAGGGCTGGTCAGGCTCGGAAGCAGGGTCTGTCAGGCTCGGGAGCGAGATTGGCGCAAGATGTTCTCGAGACCCCGACCTGCCGAGCCCCGTGCTCATCTGCCCACGCAAGGATAATGTGGCTGCCCGTGTTCGAATTTGGGCTTCCGCTGCTGCCAGAGCAGCAAGACTCCTTGCTGGGTATCCAGCACGCGAGCATTTCGGATTACTGCCCACAAGCATTTTCAAGGCTTCCCCGAACAATGTTTGAACGAACCGGGAAAAGTTTTTTGACCGCGCTGTGCCAAGGCGGAAGTTGGCGAAATTTGAGCTGGCAATGAGCGACAACCTCGGGGGAAGCCAACACTAGTGTTTGACAACCATACTCACAACCTTTCAAAAACCTTATACCGTAGTGCATCTCTCTATATCTTGTTCCCGAAAGCTTCGCACAAGAAGCCCGGGGCCGAACCGTGGTGCCGAACCAAAATCATCTTTAGAGGTTCTCGATAAGTGCTGCGACACGATTCCAGTTATTTTAAGTGGTGTCATCTTATCTCCCTTAACCTATGCTAACTCGCAACCACTACTGAGTATCACTATGAATGGATTGGATTTTAGGTTGGGTTGGGTTACAACTAGGATAGAAACACCAGCATACATGCCTAAATATACAGAACGCCCCTTCCTATTCCATATAGCATGCAGCAAGCAACCAGAATTGGCAGAGAGTAGGATGCAGTGGCAAAACATGTTTGGTAAAATAGTTCCAATAAATATTGCACTGCACCACAGCTAAGAGCACCCGTTACCCCAACCACAAGCGCCTTGAACAATTTCCGAGTAGCACCTTTCAAGCATGCCAAATGGCAAGTATGTAGGTGAGGTGTGGAAGGGACCGTTTACACCCTCTCCGATTCTGGGCATTTGCCGGAAGCTCTTGAACCGTCACACCCACTCCGCCTCTCGTTTCCGCTTTAAAACACCATCCTTTCACCCCTTCTTCAACCCCTCTCATTCCTTGACACACCTACCGTGCTGTGCCTCAGCTCGACCACTCTTCACCTTTCTGTGCTCCGTCGCTTGGCTGGCATCCATCACTCCTTCGCCATGCCCAGCCGCTCCTCCTCCTCCTCCCTCTAAACTTTCCAGTGCGTGAACCCCACGACCAGCACCAGAGCAGTGAAACATTCAACACACCAAGCCCCATACCTTCATTTCTCGTAACACCCAGTTTCTGTCTCCCCTTTGCCCCCCCTCTTTCTCTCCTTCCCCCCACTCGCCTCTACTCCCTGCCCAAAAGCCAGTTTCACCTTCCGGTGTGTGAACCCCACGACCAGCACAGTGATGTCATCAACATATCCCGCCCCATCCTTTGTCAGCCACCGTTCCTTAGCTAAGCCCAGCAGCTTCCCCCCCTCCTCCCCACTTTCCATCATTCAGTCCACTATACCTTCCGGTGTGTGAACCCCACGACCAGAGCAGTGACATCATCAACATACCCCGCCCCATCTCTCTTCAGCCACCGCTCCTTGGCCAAGGCCAGCAGCGCCTTCACTCCCGCCTCTATGCTCCCCGCCGCCACCACCACCCCTATCGCCTCGTCATCCCCCACATACTCCCACAGGCCGTCTGACCCCAGCACCAGGAAGGCGTCTGATTGGTCGAGACGACGCACCACCACCTGTGAAGGAGAGAAGAGTGGAGTGGGGTAGTGTGGGTGGGAAGGGGAGAGGGGAGAGAGGGAGGGTTCACGGGGTAGGAACAACACGGTGAGATGAATGAGACTCTGAGTTGTGAGAAGGCCGGTCTAACCCCAGCAGCAGGGAGGCGTCTGATTGGCCGCGCAATACCTCTGGGGTGGCTGAGACCCCAGGCTGCGACTCATGGCCAGGCCCAGCATGGGACCCGTCTTCATCCACACTCGGAACGGGCCCACATCGTCCCCATTCTCGTCCACGTCCCTGCCAGCCACCCATCCATGTGCCATAAAGTAACTTGGATAAGAACGCATGTATTGTGTTATTCACATTGCATTGTGCAAATGCAGTGCCAGGCACAGCATGGGGTACTGAATTCATCCACATTTTCATGCAACAGACCACGTCGTGCCATGTGTCATGTATGCAAACACATTTACCAGATTTTTCTCCAAGCACCTATGGCACCAGGCTCAGCATGAGCTGGACTTCCTCCCCCGGCCAGTGCAGTTGCTCGGCAATTAACAGTGAGAGCATGCTCAACACACCACACAGCCCACTCACTGCTGCACGTTGCCTTCACTGGCCTCTATCCTCGCCCTCTCGACCTCGTTGTTTGGCTTGTGGTCTGCTGAAGCAACGGGTGGGCGGGGCAGGGGAGAGGGAACCGAGTCAGAGGAGCTGACGCTGCTTGAGCACCAGCCTTTTGAAAACGAGTCCCTGAGCCCGTGAGGATTTGTGCACGTGGAACAAGCCACAAGTTGAAGTGTTTAGAGTTTTAAGATGATGCTCGTTCTCTCACCTCCGCCCTCTCGTCTGTGTGCCAGCACAGCCCTCGAGTCCCCCACCCACGCCCAGCCAGCCGCTGCTGAGGAGCCCCCCACCCACCCACTCTCGTTCTCCACCTTTTCATCCATCCATCCCTCTCCGCCTCTCAGCATCCCCTTTTTTGCGCACCTTCGCCCTCTACTCAACTCACCTCCGCCCTCTCGTCTCCGTGCCAGCACAGCCCTCGAGTCCCCCACCCACGCCACAGCCAGCCGCTGCTTGTACAGGTGAGCTACCACTGCTGTCGTGCGGCTTGTGTTGCAATCGGAGGAGGCTGTAAGGGGTATGAAATGGAGGTACATACAAGAGAAACAACGCGTGGACATGAGGTGCAATGTGTGTCACTAGAATACACTAGAATCTCGGCCTAAGCTGAACTCACACTCCCAACCCCTTCCCATGAGCCCTCCAGCGTTGCATTCCACAGCACTCTCCACACTGAGAGAGTGGTACTGAGAAACAAAGACCTCGCCTCGTACAGATCAGACGAACCACCACTGACAGATCATACTTGACTCTCTCACTCACAACGATGGCACTGCTCCAATGTGTGCTACTGCAGTTCACTTTACCTAACTTCGACTCACATTCCCACTCACTCCCCTCCAGAGATGTGGCACTTTTTTTCCCACAATTCGCAGCTCTTGACATTGCTCAACGCCTTTACCATACCCCCACTCACTCTCCTCTTTCCATCCTCTCTTTTACACACTCCCTTTCCTCCTCCCGAACTCCCTCAACATATCCCATCTCCACTCTCTCCTTCGTACACCTCTTCCACACCCCTCCTCATTCCCCACGACTCACTCTTTTGTCCTCACCACGCCCCATCCCCACTCACTCTCCTCCGCACCCTCCCCCACATCCCTCCCCTTTCCCCCTACTCACACTCTTCAAGTGCTGCATTGTGGACCGCCAAAAAGCCATCTGTAGATGCCTTCTCCGGGTCCACGAGTAGATCTGAGCCGTCCATTAGAATCTAAGGAAGCCATCTGTTAAAGCCGTCTTTGTACACTTTCAAAGGGGCAGCAGAGAGCTCGTCGCTGCGGTCCAGCAGGCGGTGCAGCGAGGGGCGGTGCAGCGAGGGGGGTTGCAGCGAGGGGCGGTGCTGTACCACCACCTGTTAAGCGGGGAGTGGAGAAGTGAAGGGGGGGAAACGAGGGGGGGGGAAACGGGAGTGCGCATTGAGACTCGTGGCAGAACGCTCATGGCAGGGCGGAAATACGTGGTACGGGCAGAGCTAGCTATGGGCAGAGCTAGCTATGGGCAGAGCTAGCTATGGGCAGAGCTAGCTATGGGCAGAGCTAGCTATGGGCAGAGCTAGCTATGGGCAGAGCTAGCTATGGGCAGAGCTAGCTATGGGCAGAGCTAGCTATGGGCAGAGCTAGCTATGGGCAGAGCTAGCTATGGGCAGAGCTAGCTATGGGCAGAGCTAGCTAGGGGCAGAGCTAGCGGTTATGACTCGTGTAGCGGTTACAATAATCCGGTCACGAGTCACAACCGACTTTGAAGCCTCTCAACACCCATGGCAGGGGGGAAATAAGCGGGTGATATGATAGGTAATAAGCTGGTCACGAGTCACAACTCGCTAGCTCGTTCTGTGCTGCTGAATCTCCCCTCTCTCCCTCCCCCCGCCCCCTTCGCCGCCCTTTGTTTCCCCGGCTCCCCCTCTTCCCCTCTTCCCCACCCCCCAAAGTGACAGATGACGTGGCAGTTTTTCACGCAAGTCTCTCCTCCCCCCTTTCCCCATGTTTTTTCCCCAAGTGAGATTAGGAGGCATGGCAGTGTAATGTTGCACGCACCCCTAACGCGTATAGAGCGGTGGCTTTTAGCGAGGCGGGAAGAAATCGGCCACCGCCATCTCGAAGAACGTCGGCCGACTGCCCTCCGCGCCCGCCGCGTGGAACAACATCGCGGGAAGCGCGGCGAGATGTGCGACGAGTTGTGCGACGAGTCGTGCGACGAGTTGTGCGACGAGTGGTGTGACGAGATGCGGTAAACGGTGCGATTCGATGATAAAGAGTCTAGAAGGAAGAGCAAACGGAACCGAATAGAAGCGACAGCAGCATAAGGCTTAGACATACGTTGCGCGCTATTGACATAGAACGCTGTAGCGTTTTGTGCTACCGCTCTGAATGCTTGGAGCGATATTTGTTGGAGGTGCGAAACCTGTTGTGGTAACCAACATTGTGTTTCTGTGGTTCGGGAACTGGGTATGCAGCTCATTAGTTTTATAATTCGGTTTTGCACGGTGCATGACATGAAACAGATTCAAGACCCACGGCAGTAACACTCAATCGATCACCGTTTAGAAACGCACCGAAACGCGCAGAACCGTTCAAAACTCAATTCTTCGAAAATGCTTTAGCCATGCATGTAAATCGAGCTAGGAACTAATGCTTCCTGGCAGAAACACGACAGATGTAGGATAGGATTATATCCCGCCCAGGCTTAGTATGTTTGAAGCCTGTGCGGAACATTCGTGCCGCGTCGCAGCACTGCGGCACAAACGCTCTTGGCGGGAGAGAAGCGACACGAGCATCGCGTGGCGCGCGTGCGATCCGAGTTAATTCACCGCGGCTTCGTTGCTCTCTCTCCTGATCTCTTGTCCGACTCATTGCCACGATGGCTCCGCGATTTACGCTTCTTCTTTTGCTCCTCTCCCTCCTTCCCCTCGTGCTCCCGCATCCCCATCATCCGCCTCCCCTCCGCGCCTTGCGCCGCGCGAGTCGCCGCGCGGAGCCTCGAAGGCCGCGGGGCGCACCGCGTGCTGTGCACGTCGCTACACGTGGCATGCCGCGCCTACGTGCTCATTCCACGTCATCCGGGCGATGAAACGCGGCGTGCGGTAAACCACACGTTAGGACGGGTACTAGCCGCAGTTACAATGGGGGTGTTGGAGAGAAGGAAGGAGGGAGGGCGGACGGAGGAAAGGAGCAGCGGCAGACAGATGGGTGCAGAGCGGTGCCAGAGCATCGAGCCCAGCTCAGTACCTGCTCTGCTGCCGGTGAACACATGGGAAGCAGTGGGGCGGCTGGGAGGACACGTGTCACGATACGATTGGAGGAGCCCGTGCCACGTGGGCTGTACGCCGATCCGTTTGAGCTGGAGCGAGTCGTGCGACCAGGTGAGGGTGCGGGAGTGTTCTTGGGCATGCGAGGGGAAAAGGGAAGAGGCGGGGGAGGCAAAGGGACTGCGCAGTGAGGGGACCCAGGGGGAGAGCGCAGTTTGTGCAGTGAGGGGGGCCAGGGGAAGAGCGCAGTGTGTGCAGTGAGGGGGGGCAGGGGGATAGCGCAGTGTGTGCAGTGAGGGCGATTGAGAAGAAGCTGGAGCGAATCCTGCGACCAGGTGAGGGGGGGACGTTAGTGAGCGCGTGAGGGGGGAAGGGGGGAGGGGAAGGCAGGGGGAGTGCGCAGTGAAGTGTGGGGGAGGGCGCAGTGAGACAGCTACCACCAGTAAATTTGATGCTGTTGCTGCTGGTCAGAATCAATCTGCTATCTGTTTTGAACCCTGCCCTTTTGTATCTTCTCTCCTCCCTACCCTCCCTCCCTCCTCCTCCCATTCCCCCACTCATCCCTCCCCCACCCCACTCCTCCCCCTGTTACTCCGCATCCCCCCTCCCTGCCTTCCGAGCCAGCGGCCGACCGCGCCTGGGTGGTAGGTCCGGTGGAGCTGGAGCAGCCAGCGCCACGCTGTGAAGCAACGGAGGCCGTGATGGAAAGGGAGAAAGGGGTGAAGGGGGAGGAGGGGGCGTTGGTATGGGAGGTGGCGGCGGGGTGTGCTGGCCACACGCCCCTGGTGCTGTAGGGTACGTCCCTAGCTGCTGCTGTGGGGGCTCTGGTGCTTGTTGCCGTGGCTGCTGCTGCTCCCGTGCACACGGGAGGCATCAAGGCCAGCAGTTGAGTCATGAAACAAGTTCTGAAGCGTCTCAATCAAACTCAATTGCTGCAGTGCCCATTGGGGCTATGAAGGCCCAGACAAGAGGTGTGAAACGACAGGAATAAGAGGAGCAATGGAGCAAAGCAAATGTTGCTGTGGCTGTGGTGGGTTCTGGTGCTATTGACGCTGCTGTTGTTGAGGAAAGAAGACACGGCATGCATTGCCTAGCTTGCTTGGCAGCACCATGATTCATCACAGCTGCTGTCCTCCTGGATAAGATTGGCTTCAGTGCAGAGAAGATGCAGAGTACCACAATCCAGTTCCAAGTGCTATGTTGCAACATTCCATCGCAATATGATGCGCTGTTTACGCTCACACGTGGGTGTTTAGGTTGCGTGTGAAGAGGAAAGGCGTTTCACAGCGAGTACCTTGGCCGTTGTTGCCTTTGATTGGATTGTGCACAATACAGTACCGTCATAACACAGAATGCTCTTCAACAAGCAATTATTGATTTTTTCAAGGCTAATACAGATGAGCAAGCATATAGCCTAACTGGCAAGTCAAGGTGTGCTCGTGCCAACCATTAGAAGTGCCCCAGCCAGAGCCATCCCTTGGGGAGCGCTCCAGGCCAGAGCCATCCCTTGGGGAGCGCTCCAGGCCAGAGCCATCCCTTGGGGAGCGCTCCAGGCCAGAGCCATCCCTTGGGGAGCGCTCCAGGCCAGAGCCATCCCTTGGGGAGCGCTCCAGGCCAGAGCCATCCCTTGGGGAGCGCTCCAGGCCCTTCAAGTGAATCCTGGGCTTGATGCCAACCTGGAAGGAAGATTTCAAGCTAGAGCCACAGCTGAATGGCAGCAGATGATTATCCTTCCACCCCCAGCAATTTCCCAACCCACTCTCCCGAACACCCTGACGAGCAGGGTGCAAAAATGGGACCCACCATCATCCGACTTTCCCAACCTCCCAACCACCATCCAGTGCTGCAATATGCTCGAGGCTCTGCTTCTGTGCTCTCCGCCTGCATCCCGCTGGAGTAATCCTTAGCTGCTTCTCAAATGACTTCTTTTATTTTATAATATTTTTCTCGTTTCATTTTTTGTATTCGCTTTTTTTATGTACGTTTTTTTTTTTTGTGTTTTGTTTCTTTTTTTTTTTTTTTCCCACGGGGACCCACTGGGGGGGTCCCCCTTTCTCAAAGACTCGGGTGCCGTCTTTGTGAATCAACTTAGCACGTTGGAGGTTGGAGCTGGCAGCGAGTCACGGGGCGCGTGCTCACGGCCGCCACGGACGACGTGAGCTCGCAGCGAGCACCACCTTGGACGACGATCCAGAACGAACCTTCTTCGCAGCCGCGGGAATCACATCATTCATGCCTTCGAGCTGCTTCGTGCCGTTGGAGCTCCTTCTGCTTCGCACCTGTCTCACAGCTGCAGCGGCTCCTGCAGGCCGCGGAATTAACGTCGTCCCCTCCGCGCGGCTTTTCACGATCGTTCTCTGACAGCTTGGTTTGGGGATGCGCGACGGCAGCAGATCTGTTGAGCGTGTCGCAGCTGCCTTCGCCAAACCAGCTACTTCAGCTGGCGGCGGCGTCGCCGGTTCAAATGCCTCTGGTTCGGACGTTACCGTTTCAGAGGTCACCGCCGATACAGAGGCCACCAGATCCATCGTTCCCCGATCTGGCATCGACGGATCAGAGGACGTCGGATCGGACGTCATCGGATCCGGCGACGTCGTCGGACCGTGCGATTCTTGAGCTTCGACAAGACAGGCGTTGCTGCGGCTGGCGTCGCCGACGTTCTCAGTGCTGGAGTCAGCGCAGGAGAGCACCGCGTCGCTGACCTCGCTGCAGCAGGACGTCACGCTGAGGCTGCTAACCTGGCGGGGTTTGCTCGCGTTGCTGGAGGAGCTCGGAGGCTGCAGCGAAGGTTGCGTCGGTTTGTTGCTATCGAGGGTTTTCCAGAAGCTAAGAGCGTTGTTGAAGTACGACGGGTAGTCAGACTCTGAGGCCATAGTGCTGATTCTTCACGAGATGAGTAAACGTTGAGAGATGATCTTTATGCTAGAACAGATAGTATGCGAAAGCCAGGATGATTGCATGAAGAGAATAGGTGCAGATTTGTAGGCTGAGTCGAGTCGAGAAGGGAATTAGAGGGGATGGAGGCGGAAAGGGCCACCTCCGGCCTAGGAGGGAGGGTTGCTCAGGCTCGGATATGGGCTGGTCAGGCTCGGGAGCGAGAATGGCGCAAGGTGTTCTCGAGACCCTGGCCTGCCCAACCTTGTGCTCCTTTGCCCACGGAAAGATCCGTGCGGCTGCCCGAGCAAATATTTTACCCGCGCTGCTGCCACAGCAAGAATCTTTGCTGGGAATCAAGCCCACGAGAATTTCGGGTTACTGCCCAAAAGAATTTCAAAGGCTGCCCAGAACAGTGTTTGAACGTGTTACGTACGGCGGGAGTCAGCGAAATTTGAGCTCGCAATGAGCGACAATCTCGGGGGAAGACAGTCAAGATGAGTGTTTGACTGGGAGTCTTTTGTGGACCATACCCACAACCATTTTACATCTAAATACCATACTGGATCTCCCTAAAAATTGTTACCCCGAAAGCTTCGCGTATGAAAGTTGGACCTGAGGACGCGGCACCTGGCTACGATCGATCGTGGCTGGGGATCGATGTGCCACATGTACAGTGTGTTGGCGACATCGCCAATGCCTGGTATCCGCTTTTCGCAGAACGTCGAAACTCTACAGTAAACGGGTACCCAAAATGGTGGCACCTGCAGCTCGCACGGTGGAGGTGCCGATGTCCACACATCGATCGTGAGTTGAGATTGGTGGGAGAGCACATCGAGCCACAGGTGACAGCCGCGATCGATCGGCATCGATGCAGGCCTAAAATTTCTGAGTCGTTGCGAATGAAATTGCTGGGCGACCAACCACGCTCTGCCCTGATTGGCTGTGCATTGCTCTGTGCTGGTGTATCCCGACGCGGCTCCAATCTGCCCGACCCTGCAATTTCGATCCTGGCACTTATGGCTCGATGTGTCAGCCCCACCACAAATTTGCAGTGTGGGCACATCGGTGTGCCGATCGATGTGCCAGGATCGATGTGAGGCTCCGACCCTCTCTCGAACCTGGCAAAATGCAAACATGTGCCGCGTCCTGAACTTTGGTGCCGAACCTCCTCGCCTTGCCTACCGCGCGAAAGCCAATGTTTAGAAGTTCTCGATAAGTGTTGCTACACTTTTCCTGCTATTTTGTCTCATCTCGACTCCCTGAACAGATGCTATCTTGCAACCATATCACAATTATATACCTACATATGTCGAACACCTATCCTATTCCATATACGGTAGGGTAGCATACAGCAACCAGAGGTTATAAGACCACAGCGAGTAGGATGCAGTGACAAAACATGTTCGGCTAAATAGTTCCAATAAATATTGCACTGCAGCTAGGAGAACCTGTTACCTCAACCACAAGCTTCTGCCCTGGACTGTCTCTGAGGAGAAGCACAATTTAAGCATGCCAAATGGCAAGCTCCGGAAACCGTTACACCCACTCCATCTCTCTCGTTGTCCACCCTCTCCGCCCCTGGTTTCCTCTTCTAAACACCTTCCCTCCAATCCTTCTTCACCCCCTTTCATTCCCTGACTCACCTACCGTACCATGCTCTTCCTCAGCTCAACCACTCTACACCTTTCGCTGCTCCATCACTTGGCATCCACCACTCCTTCCTTCGCCATGCCCAGTAACTCCTCCTCCTTCCTCCCGCTACATCTTGCGGTGAGTGAACCCACCCACGACCAGAGCAGTGATGCCTTCAACATACCCAGCCCCAATCCTTTACCCTCCATAACACCCACTCCTCGTCTCCCCTTCGCCATCCCTCTTTCTCTCCTTCCCCCCACTCCCCTTTAGCCAAGTCCAGCAGCCTCCCTCTTCCTCTCGCCCACCCACACATTCTCTATCTGTCTGCTATACCTTCCTGTGTGTGAACCCCACGACCAGAGCAGTGATATCATCAACATACCCCGCCCCATCTTTGGTCAGCCACCGCTCCTTGGCCAAGGCCAGCAGCGCTTTCACTCCCGCCTCTATGCTCCCCGCCGCCACCACCACCCCTATCGCCTCGTCATCCCCCACATACTCCCACAGGCCGTCAGACCCCAGCACCAGGAAGGCGTCTGATTGGTCTAGACGACGCACGACCACCTGTGAGGGAGTGGGATGGGAGGGGTGCGGGGAGAGGAAAGAGGGAGGGTTGAGTGGGTGTGGGGGGGGTAAGGATGACGTGGTGATATGTGGAGTATGGGTTGTAGTGGGAAGGGGTTGGAAGATGGGGTTGAGATGGGTTGAATAGGGTTGAGAAGGAAGGCATGCTCCCCGCCGCCACCACCACCCCTATCGCCTCGTCATCCCCCACATACTCCCACAGCCCGTCGGACCCCAGCACCAGGAAGGCGTCTGATTGGTCGAGACGACGCACGACAACCTGTGAGGGAGAGGAAAAGAGGGGAGTAGCGTGAGAGAGGGCAGAGGGAGGGGGGTGAGTGGGTAAGAATGCATGACGAGGTCTAGAGTATGGCTTGTATTGGGAAGGGGTTGGAAATTAGGGCTGAGTTGAGGGGGTAAGGAGGACATGCACCACCACTCTGATCACTATCATCACCACTCTGGTCGCCACCACCACCACTCTGGTCGCCACCACCACCACTCTGGTCGCCACCACCACCATTCTGATCGCCACCACTACCACTCTGATCGCCACCATACAAAGTAGTGGCAGAGGGCACGACGGCGTGTGCCAGTTAATTCCTGCAGCAGTGCCTCATATCCGAGGCAAGTATTGGGCCATATACAGTATAGCAGCATAAACAACTCATGTTAGCAGATGCATGAAGTGCATTGCTTATCAAGGTACACCCTTGGTGCCAGGGGGCACATGCAGTGGGTGGCAGCATACCTCAGGAGTGGCAGTGACCCTAACAGTGTGTGCGAGCTTATCCCCCAAGCTGCCACTCATGGCCAGCCCCATCATGGGACCATATCGTGTATTAAGATACTCAAGTCGTGTTAGTAGACGCATTGAGAGGGTCCTTGCTTACCTCAGGAGTGGCAGTGACCTCCACAGTGTTTGCGTGTTTATCCCTGAGGCTGCGACTCATGGCTAGCCCCAGCATGGGACCACATCGTGCATTAAGATACTCAAGTCGTGTTAGTAGACGCATAAAGAGGGTCCTTGCTTACCTCAAGAGTGGCAATGACCCCAACAGTGTGTGCGAGTTTATCCCCCAGGCTGCGACTCATGGCCAGCCCCAGCATGGGACCACATCATGTATTAAGATACTCAAGTCGCGTTAGTAGACGCATGGAGAGGGTCCTTGCTTACGTCAGGAGTGGCAGTGACCCCAACAGTGTGTGCGAGTTTATCCCCGAAGCTGCGACTCATGGCCAGGCCCAGCATGGGACCCGTCTTCCATCCACACTCGGAACGGCCCCACGTCATCCCCATTCTTGTCCACGTCCCTGCCATGAAGCACATGGCACGTTGCACATGGCACACATGGGACCCACTCCACATGTCATGTGCTTCCGTGTTATCCAAGCTAAAATGCCAGACACACCACACTTTCCCCTCGACACCAATGGCTCAACCCCCAAGACTCCCCGTCCCGGTAAAGAGGCAATTCTCTCTGCGCAATCAAGGTTTCTCAGCATATCAAAAATAAAGACAAGTGTGTGCTTTGACGGCAGAGACTTCTATACCTGGAGCTTCGAACTGGAGCTCCTGCTGCAAATTGCCCGGATCTTTCATTACTTCGATGGGAGCTACGTGGGGCCCAATAAAGACACCGACGACGCCAGGACAAGGTACTATAACAAGTCTCTGACGGCATACGGGGTTCTCCCGCGGAATATGTCGCCGACGGAGCAGTTGAGCATTCGCTCATACAAGACTTCATCCGCTCCAGCCCTCGATGCTTGGCGCCACCTGAATGGCGTGTATCAGCCGAAGGACTCTGTTTCTTCGAGCCGGCTGCTCCAGCAGCTACTGGAGACCAAAATAGCTTCAAGGGAGAAGGCCAACAGCTACATTAATCGTTGTCGGAGCCTTTGCGATCAAATCGCGAAGCTGGGAAACTCGATCTCAGAAGATTGTTTTTTTTTACATCGTGCTTCAAGGGCTCGGTCCCGAGTGGCGGCCCTGCAAGACGCTGCTCCGACAGCAGGGGGTCATCTCGGAGGCCGCCCTTTGCGCCGCCCTTCTTGTCGAACAAAAAGATATGGATCAGCAGCGACCAGCTCCGCGACGAGAACGAGAATGTCTCGCCTTTTACGCCGAGAAGAGCGACGGCCGCGGCGCCTCTACTGCAAGATTTGCAGAAATTTTGGGTACTTGGCAGATCGATGTAAATTTCGATCTTGCCCTCGCCAAACCAATTCGAGCATTTGGTCTGGCCGACAAGACGCACGAGGCGACGTGTGTCTAGCCCAGGGTTATCAACCCCCACCCGCGCGTAATCTGAACCCGGCGATTCAGCATCAGCAGCAGCAGCCGTCACCGCCTGCACCAGTACGCAACGTCACGAGCAACATGGCCATGACGGGCGAGTCACGTCGTTGCCGAGTGCGCTCACCATCACCTGAGCCAGCTCTGCATCCGATCGGCGCCTTCTCCAACAACAACCCGTTCAGTACGCGCCATGACTACACCGACGACGATGTCCATGGAACTTACCAATCCCGCTGCTTGAAAGTCCCCCGCATATACCCGACACGCGGGTGGCGCCACTCGACTCGCTCTCGCGCGAGAAGTTTCTGAAGTTCGACACACCGCACCTTGCCATGCCGCGACAGACGCTGCTTACACATGACGACAACAAGTGCTACAATACCTGGTACCTGGAAAGATGCTGCGGCCAGGGCTCCGAGCGTTACATATCCAACACCGTTGCCACCCCCACAGTCACCTACGTTACCATGGCCAACAATATGCGCCTGCGTGCAAACGCGCAAGGCATCGTCGTGCTCAATGCACGAAGCCGCACGCACATCACACTTAACGATGTGCTGATCGTCCAGAACCTGTGCTTCAACCTGCTTTCCGCCGCACAGCTCATGGACTGCGGCGTTGACCTCAGCACGGATCACGCGACGCGCGACATCCTGCTGCACTATGAATCGCCGACCTTCCCCCGCAGGCGGATCGGAAGAGCGCACTCCGAAAATGGAGTGTACATACTGGACTTCGACATTCCCGTCTGCAGCGGCGATTCGAACGAGTTGATTGACCTCGTTCCACTACGCTTCAAGCACATCCACCACAGGGACTGGAAGCACCCTGACGGAAGACCGTGGGTGCCGCATCATCCCCACCCACGCAAGATGGCGCTGCACGACCCTGACCCAGACGGCATCTGCAGGGACTGCCACACGCCAACGGCGTCAACCAGCGCAATTGCCGGCCGTGGACTTGCCGCCATCGCCGAGGCTGAGCACCACGCGCCGCCAGACGAAGGGATGTGACAGCTAGAGCTCGAAGTCACCACGCGCAGCGTTTTCGGCACGCCAGAACATCCTCTAATTGGACCCCCCTCACAACATCTCCAAGGCATGCTACGCGGCACTAGCGTCGGCACCTTCGATAAAAGCAACGTGCCGCGCCCCTACACATGAGAGAAGTTTCTGGAGATCTACTCCCATCGGCACGATTCCACGAAGAAGCTTAATGTGGAACAAGAAGAAGAATTGGCGCGACGCAAAGCTGAGGAGCTTCGCTGACAAAGCCTCGCCTAAGCACGCAGGACATTCGCTTGCGGCGCATGGGGAGCCGAGTAAGAAGAGAGCGCCTCCAATGAAGGGGGGTGGGGAGGCACTGCCGGATGGGAGACGAGTGACACCGGCAGATGGGGGAACACCGACGACACCTGGGAAACCGCGAGCGGCGGATGGGGCGTGGCAACTGCCGACGACGGCAGCGGCTGGAGGGTTTCCCGCGAAGAACAAAAGGGGGGAGAAGAAGCTGAGGCAACACCTGCAGTTGTTCCCCTTGGTCGCCCCCCGCGACGTGCTCCTCCCGTGCTAACTCCTCCTGACATTCCGCCGCACCACGATCCCTGGGACACTATCGATTGGGGTATCGAACCGTCAACCCCGCGCCATACAGTATACGGACCTGCTCCCGAACCGCGCGAACCTACCTTTGTTCCTGGAACCATCCCTAGGACCAACATCTCTCTCTCCGAAGTCCGCGACAGAGAGTTCCTGGCGCTCATGCTTACCACCGGCGACGACGAAGAAGAAGCAACAGCAGAACCTACTCTAGTACCTGACGAAGACCCCAACGAAGCCCTTGCACGATACATGCACACCTCCGGATTTTGCGCCGACGATACGCCCTTGCACCAGCGCCTTGGCCACCCTTCACGCGCAACGCTGAAGAATTGCATCGACGCAAGCGTCTTCGCTCCTGGCGCACCCAGACGGCACCGAAGTGAGAGGCGCGACACACCCATGCAACTGCATCGTCTGCCCGAAGCCACGCTAAGCCACCAGCCGTTCTCGCTGCTCGAGCCAGGGACGAATCGCTACCCCAAGCTACACAAGGTGTACAGCGACTTTCTGAACGTGGGACACTGCGGAGTCAACGACGAGCTGTATACGCTCACCTTCATCGACGCTGGGACGCGCTACGTGTGGGTCATAAACGTGGAAGCGCGGAGCAGAGCATACGAAGTATTTCGCCTCTGGCTGGCGCACGCGCAGCGGCAATCAAGGGAGAAACTGAAGATCTGGCAGTCGGACGGCGCAGCAGAGTTCAGGAGCAAGGAGCTGTAGGACTTCCTAGCGCACGAGGGGATCGAGCATCATATTTATCTCCCCTACGCGCACCAGCAGCAGGGCGTAGCCGAGCGGATGAATCGCACGCTTATGACGAAGGTGCGGGTGCTTATGAAGCAATCGAAGCTGCCGCCGATCTACTGGACCTGTGCGATGCACCACGCTATGCGGGTGCACAGCCTGCAGTCAACGACTGCCATCACTGGCAATTTGTCCCCGCATGTGAAGTGGACCGGAACTAATGGGGACACAACCATGCTCCACGTGTGGGGGTGCATGGTACAAAACCGCCCGCCAACTTCAACTATCTGCAAATTCGCCAGCGCGCGCGATGGGGCATTCACCTAGGCATCAGCCACGAACACAAGGCATGGATCATGTTGGACCTGCTCAGCCAGAAGACCTTTCATGCTCGCGACGTCATTTTTTACGAACGGCTCTTCCTCGAACAGTTCCGCCATTACGAGCAGACAAACGCGAATTGCGTCTACGCGTATGACGGGCACAGCTACGCAACGCCCGAGGACGAAGCCGCTGCAGCAATCCTGGAGCAGGACACCAGGGGCGAGTTCACGAGAGGAGACCGCCACAGCAGCGACGACGACGATGACGATTCCTCTGGAGGAGGAATGGGCGGAACAGGAGGAAGCGGCAGAGGCGCAGCACCACCAGCACCACCTGAACCAGAGAGCGACGACGACGACGATGTGCAGGAAGTCGTCCCACAGCATCGACATGATACCATCGCCATGGCAGCACCGTCTCCGGGTTGCAGCTGCTCGGACTCCACACTGCAACTACAAAGGCGCAGGGGCGAGTTCACGAGAGGAGACCGCCACAGCAGCGACGACGATGACGACGATTCCTCTGTAGGAGGAATGGGCGGAACAGGAGGAAGCGGCAGAGGCGCAGCACTACCACCACCACCTGAGCCAGAGAGCGACGACGACGACGATGTGCAGGAAGTCGTCCCACAGCATCGACATGACATCATCGACATGACAGCACCGTCTCCGGGTTGCAGCTGCTCGGACTCCACACTGCAACTACAAAGGCGCCACGTGTCATCGAGCCACGAAACCCGCGCCAAGCTCTCACTGGACCACACAGCAAGGAGTGGCGCGAGGCAATGGACACGGAGATAAAGGCGCTCGAATCCCGAGACACCTGGGTGCTGATCAACCGCGAAGTGATCAAAGGCACAAAAGTCCTCTCTGGCAAGTGGGTCTTTTGCGTGAAAACCGCAGTGGACGGCATGATCAAACTCTTCAAGGCACGTTGGGTGGTGCGCGGCTACGACCAGAGGCACGGGATCGACTTCGATCAAACGTTTGCACAGGTAAGCCGCCACACCTCCGTTCGAATCTTGCTCGCCATCGCAGCTGCAAGGCATCTGCCTCTCCGCCAAATCGACGTAAAGAATGCGTTACTGTAAGCGTTAGTAGATGCAGTCATCTAAGTGGAGCAGCCGCACACGTACGGCGAAGGAGATTCGCGAGTATGTCAGCTGCGCAAATCCCTCTACAGGATAAAACAGGCACCGAGGCTCTGGCAGCAGTAGCTACACAACATCCGGCTCGAAATCGGGTTCAAGCAGCTGCCTCATGATCCTGGGATGTACTGCCGTGATTTTCGCAGCGAATACATCCTACTCACGGTCTACGTAAATGACCTGCTTTACACAGGATCAAGCAACGGGTT